CGAAAGGGTTTGAGTTTGAGTTTGAGTTTTATTGCCACTGAACATAGTACATGTTATGGACATTAATAAATATAATAAATAAGATAAAATATTAAATAGTAAAACATTTGAGTAAAATTGTAAAGTTAAACACCATTAAAATCTTTTGCACTATACAGACATGCCTGTGTTAGGCTTAATTTCACATGATTTTTGAACTTTTTATAGTTTAATTTTCTTATTTGTTGGTCAATTTTATTGAAGAACAATACACCACAGTAGAATACATTTTTTTGACTAACTGATAAAAGGTTTCTATCCGGGACTAGATGATTCCTTTGGCGGGTATTGTGGTCATGTTTTTCAGCAGTTGTCTTGATCTGTTTCTCATTCTTTTTGATGTATTTTAGAAGGTCATAAATGTACAAGGCTGGTAGGGTCATTACTTTTGCTTTTAAAAATAGTGGTTTGCAGCTCTCAGTTTGGGGTACATTGTACACTGCTCTAATTGCTTTCTTTTGCAGCCTGAATATGTCTTCTTTCATTGAGGTGTTTCCCCATATTAGTGTACCATAGCTTATAATTGAGTGGAACATACCATGGTACGCCAACATTGCAGTTCTTTCATTAGCTATGTTCCGTATTCTTTTTATACCAAAAATTGCTGAATTTAGTTTGGGTATTAGGTATTCTGCATGCTTGTTCCAGCGCAGGAACTGGTCAATGTGTACTCCGAGGAATTTTGCTTCTGGTACCCTTTGTTCGGTAAATGTTGCACTGTTGATGATTGATGTGTTTTCATTTGTTCTAAACTGTACAATATTTGTTTTTGATTCATTTAGTATTAGCTTGTTTTTATTGCACCACTTTTTCATTTTTTCAAATATTTTTTTAATCTTTTCCTCCAGTTCTTCAGAGTTACTTGCTTCAACTAAGATACTGACATCATCAGCAAAGTTGACAAGGTGACCATCACTTATGTATTTTTGTAGTTCATTTATAAAGAGTAGGAATAGTAGTGGACCTAACACCGATCCTTGCGGAACTCCACATTTTATGTACTCTGGATTAGACCTATAGGCTTTGGTTGTTTCCCCGTCACTGTGGTTGATTTCCACAATTTGTTGCCGTTGATTGAGATATGATTCCATCCAGGCCTGTATGCTACCTCTTATACCACATGAACCAAGCTTCTTCAGGAGTATTTTGTGGTCAACTAAATCAAATGCTTTGGACATGTCAAAAAATATTCCAGTCAGTAGTCTCTTCTTATCAAATGAGTTATATATTTGTTGTATGAAATCCACAATTGCATCTGAAGTACTCTTGTCTTTAATAAAACCAAATTGGGTATCAGAGAGGATGTTATATTTGTAGAGGTAATCCCGTAACTTCTGTTCCATTATTATTTCAAAAATTTTTGAGAAGGTAGTGATATTTGAGACTGGTCTATAGTTTACTTTTTCCGTTTCTTCTCCTTTTTTATATATTGGCATAACTTTGGATAATTTTAGTAGGTCTGGGAATATACCTTCATCAAATGATTTTTGTACCAGGTGCTTTAGTGGTTGTACTAGTGGTAGATGACATACTTTAATTATTTCATCACAGACTTCATCGTATCCAGAGCACTTTTTGTTTTTTAGTTTTGCTATAGCTAGTATAATATCATTTTCTGTGACTTTACTTAAATACATTGAGAATTCTTTTTCTCTATTTATAGTGCCTTCTTCATTATAATTATTTTCTTTCAGTTTTTCAGCTAGAGTGCAGTAGTATTTATTAAATTCTTCTGCTACAGTTTGTGGATCTGTAGAAACTGTGTTATTTTCTAATTTGATTTTTATATTTTTGTGTTCTGCTTCTGGTTTTCCCATGTGTTTATTAATTAACTTCCATACTGCTTTTGACACATTTTTTGCATTTTTGATTTCATTTTCTATGAATTTTGCCTTTGCTGTTTTTAAAACCTTTCGGTATATTGTCCTATACTTTTTAAAATATTCCATATGGTTCGGATCTTTTCTTTCCTTTGTCTTCCTACATAGTTCCCTGAAATTCCTTGATGTAATTTCAATTCCTTTTGTGACCCACTTTTTGTTTTCTTCATGACCTATCTTAATCCTCTTCACTGGGAAGTATTTGTCATACAACCCTATAAAAGTTTTGTGAAAATTTGCAAACTTTTCATTAACATGATCTGCTTCATATACCTCCGTCCATTTTTGTTCTTCAAGTTCCCTCAGAAATAGGGCTATTTTTGGTTGTGGGTACACTCTTTGATATCTGTATTTGATTCTTTTACTATTCTCATTTTTATTGAAAGAGACATACTGCAAGTAATGGTCTGAGATTCCTGCTTCTACGCTGCATTCACTTCTGAATTCTTTCATGTCTACATTAGTTATTATATGGTCTATTGCAGTCTTACAGTAACCCATGTCTCTTGTGTACTTGTCAGTTGTGGTGTATAACCCTTCTTGAGACAGAAAATACTCAAACTCTTTCCTTATGTTCATTTTGTTCTTATCACAGGTCATTATGTCAATGTTTATATCTCCACAAATAAAAAGGTTTTTGTTCATTTTAATTTTTTTGAGACATTTTGCAAGTTGTCTATAAAATATTTCCAGGTCCCCTTTTGGTGGCCTGTATATACATATCACAGTGTTCTTTTCAGTCTTTATCGCTGTTGATTCAAAGTTACCTTCCACGTTTAATTCTTGTATAGGGATCTCCTTGTATTGCACTCCTTTCTTCACATAAATAGCAGCTCCCCCACCACCTTGTTTTTCCCTACAATAAATTGAGCCACACACATATCCTTCTATCATGTTCCTTGCAGTTCCAGGGGTATTTAGTTTATGCTCTGTAACACAGAGATTTTGTATATTCATATCCTTGCACATCAATTCAAGTTTATGGGTTTTGCTTGTTATCCCGTTCACATTTATGTGACATATATTACTATTGCTTAGTCTTGGTAAGGCTTTCTGTTCAGTGGCATCTTCTAAAAAAAATTATTTTCTCTTACTTCACTCTCCTCACTTTTTCCGTATTTTGTGTTTGGTTGACTCGATTCATCTTGATTCATTATTGTATAAGCCAGTCTCTCACACAATATATTTTTGCCTTTCATATTTAGATGCAGTCCTTGCTTGGTGTAGCAGAGTTTATTTAATTTTTCTGTTGTGGCATCAAATTGAATAGGAGTGTTCTTGCATTTTTCACTAATATAGTCATTGGCATTGCATATCGTATTATTCAGATACTCTTTGTCATATCTCACTGGAATGGCAGTCATCAGTACTTTGACTTTTTTTGAGGCTTGATGTATACTATACATTGCTTCATCTATATCTTGTTGCGGTGATTGCTTGGGTGTTTTAATGCTGTTGGTTCCTCCTATTATTACCACTATGTCATTACTATTTAGATCTTTGGTTAATTCACTTATTGGCTGTGCTACTTTTCCTAGTGTTGCATTCGGCTTTATAAATCCCACTACTTTGTAGTTACTTGGTAATTTGGTGGCAAGCTTTGCTGATAGGTCTCTTCCATGGCTGTCTGCTAGTAACAACACTTTGCGTTTCCTTTTACTTCTTAATTTTGTATTGTATTCATCATCATTCTGTAGCGCCTCTGTCTCATTAGTATTTTCCAGGTTTTGCAGTATACTAAACCTGTTGTTTGTGGTGATGTCATTTCTTCCATTGATGTTTATTTTGCTTTTTGCTTTGAATGGCTTTGGTGATTGGCTCCATGTGAATGATAGGTTAAGTTTATCTCTATTGTTTTGGCAGAGCTTTTCCACTTTTTGATTTGATTGACTATGTGCCTCTCTTTCCACCTCATTAAGTGTTTCTTCCATTAGGATCTTCATTTCTTTGAGTTCATTTCTCAATGATACAATCTCCATGAGTCGAACATCTAACTTGTCGCTTAGTTCATTCACTTGTGTTTTCAGCTTCTCATTTTCATTTTTGAGTGTTGTCATTTTATCATTTTCATTATCATTTCTCGTCTCAGTCTCCTCAATCAAGCGAATAAAATAAACATGGGAATGCGCTGCTGCTTGACCAAGGTGATCAGCTGATGAAGCCTCTTGTTGCTGCCGAAAGAAACACCCCGTAACAGCAGCAGCGGTGGCAGTAGCGGCAGCGGCCCGGTCCACGACCACCGCAGCAGCATCAGCGGCGGCCGGCCGCGTGGCCAAGATGGCTCCCGCGCGCGTTACCATAGCGACCGTGGCGGTGGAGGGGGGAAGAGCGCGGGGCGCGGGATGGGAGGGGGTGAAGAATCGCCCGCGCGCCGCGCCAGCCGAGCCGAGCCGACCGACCGGTTTTTCGGCATCGGCGCGGCATCGACAGCCGTACGAGGAAGAGGAGGGGGAGGGGAGGGGAGGGGGAGCGACACAATAGGGTGCTCCATGGTCGTCGCAATGAGTGGGGACCCCGCCAGCCTGCCGCTCTGCCGCTTATAGAGTTGCCACCCGTTTCAAACGCAGCAAACGGCTCTGTTCCTATCACTTGCTCTGGATACCCAGTTTCTTTTGCACGTCCCCGCCTATATCGCCTATAGCCGGAACTAAAACATACCTAATGATTTTAAAGTCCGAAATTTTTCCGTAAAACATTCGAAATTTCTCCAAATATTAAAGTATTGCCAAAAAATTTGAAAATAAATAAAACTAACAATACAAATCAAGGAAATTCGAGGAAAAATTTCAAAAAAAAACTTGAGTAGAAAATTATAATCCCCAAGCATGCATCACCAATGCGTCAACATATTCTATCACAGGTGCGAATATGTGGCGTGAGGTGCGGCGCCACCAGCCTGGCGGACTAAGCTGATGGCCCTTTACGCTGCGCTCCACGACCTCGCCGAGCCATTCCGTTGATTGCGAGAACCGTTCCCATGATGACGTAGCAGTTCATTGATCCGAAAAGCAGGGGGAGACGGTGGGGTGCAAGGGGTTGGTGAGAGGCCACATTCCTCTGGGTAGTGTTGTTTTGTTCCTGAAATTCAATTAGAAACTGTAAGTCGTGTCGTTGGTACAGTCGTGATTTCGATAAACGATGGTTAGTTGCGGGGTGTATAACAAACTATGAGTTACGAATTTGAAATAAAATACGTAAAAATGCATTAATGTGTTGTGTGTGGGCGCATTTTCCTCGTGTGTTCACAGTTATGCCAGGAGCACAGAGGCCCTTGAACGATTTCACCCGCAAGTAACTTAAAAGCGAAGCGTTGATGAGGGTGACTTTATGGTAATGTCCCCGTCGCCATAGGATTTGGGGCGCGCGGGGGCTGGGGAGCATGTTATATGACATGTGGCAAGCGTTATGACGAGATGGGTTTATAATCCCCATAAAGCGGTTTGGCCGGGGGGTCGCCATGGCGGCGACGCCTTTCCATACCGGAGGCGGGCGCGAGGGACGCGGCCGTGCCGGCTGAGCATTCCGCGGATTGTCCGTGCTGGACTAACTTTTAAATTATGGCGCCAACACGACGCGGGGAGCCGAGCCCCAAGCCCAGCCACTGCCGTGTGTGGGAATAAATAAGTGGATTCTGAGGGTCGTATTGCAGGCAGCAGCAGGGGGCTGGGGTCCAATGTTTAAATTAACAGAACTATGCTGATATTAACTAATTGACCCCCCCCCCCCGAAAAAAACAAAAAAACAAAACGAGAGGTAGACTGTATGACAATAAAAATAAAGGTAACAATTTTAAATAACCGCGAATAAACGTGCGTTTTCCCAGATTAACACTTTAACCATTCCTTGTTAATTTTATTTATTAACCAAAACAATACATACTCAGAAATAACGATTTCATGCCGGACCTTTGGGCATTGAAGCAAGCAATGGCCCCTGCGAAAAGTTCTTGTTGCAGCAGTGCCTTTTACACCATTGTATGTATGCAGATTTGACAACCCGTGCGCAAAAGCGTCCTCGGTCATGGGCTGCGTGCGATGCGATGCATAACAACCAGTCGAGGGGAGCAGTGAAGCGGCGACCCGTTCGGCTGTCTCCGAGACATCAGTCGGATCGGGAGACGGGCGCGCCACCGCCGCCCTAGAGGGAGGCCAGGGCCATAAAACTGGACGCATAAAGAAAAAGAAAAATAATGAGCGATATAGACGAATTTCAGATTGCAACGATGACGTAATTGAAACGAGCGGCGTCGCATGAACGGGGACAGTCGGCTGCAACTCTTTGGGCCATTTTCGCGCGTAAATCGTCGCCCAATCCGCGGCGCCCGCTCGAGGCCGTAAAACAGACTCTGAGTGGCTTTTGAGTGTTTTTTGAGTGTCGGTGCGGCCAGTCTCAGCACGCCGCCCA